GGGAAAACTGGACAGCCACACGCAAAAGAATGAAAGTAGACCATTATCTTACACCAAACAGAAAAATTAACTCCAAATGGATCAAAGACTTGAATGTAAGACCTGAAACTGTGAAGCTTCTAAAAGAAAACATAAGCAGTACACTCTTCGACATCGGTACCATGTCTGATAGGGCAAGGGAAACAATAGAAAAATTAAACAAATGGGACTACATCAAACTAGAAAGCTTGTGCACAGCAAGAAAACCATGAACAAAACAAAAAGACAACCCAACAGTTGGAAGAAGATATTTGCAAACCATATATCTGATAAGAGGTTAGTACCCAAAATACATAAAGAACTCATACATCTCAACAACAACAAAAATAAAAACCCAGTTGAAAAATGGGCAAAAGATGTGAACAGACATTTCTCCAAAGAAGATACGATATACAGATGGCCAACAGGCACATGAAAAGATGTTCAGCATCATTAGCTATCAGGGAAATGAAAATCAAAACTACAATGGGATATCACCTTACTCCCATCAGAATGGCTATAATTACCAAGTCAGGAAACAACAATTATTGGGGAGGATGTGGAGAGAAGGGAACTCTCATACACTGCTGGTGGGAATGCAAAAGTATGGAGAGTCCTCAAAAAATTAAGAATAGAACTACCATACGATCCAGCTGGTCCACTGCTGGGTATTTATGCAAAGAACATGAAAACACAAATATGTAAAGATATGTGCACTCCTGTGTTCATCGCAACATTATTCACAATAGCCAAGACTTGCAAGCAACCTACCTTCCCATCAAGGGACGAATAGATAAAGAAGATGTGATATGTACGCAGAATGGAATACTGCTCAGCCATAAGAAATGATGAAATCCAGCCATTTGGGACAACATGGATGGAACTTGAGGGTATTATGCTGAGTGAAATCAGTCAGAGGGAGAAAGTCAAATACCATATGATCTCACTCATAAGTAGAAGATAAAAATGACGACAAACAATCACATAGAAACAGAGATTGGGTTGGTGGTTACCAGATGGGACGGGGGAGGGGGGGAGGGCAAAAGGGGTGATTAGGCACATGTGTGTGGTGATGGATTGTAATTAGTCTTTGTGTGGGGAACATGATGTTCCTACACAGGAATCGAAATATAATGATGTACACATGAAATTTATATAATGTTAGAAACCAATGCTGCCACAATAAAAAAAACAGTCTGCAAAGAGGGCTATAGAAATATGGAAATATATCTTGTTCTATAACCATTTGGGGTCATAATAAACAATGGTTTTATAAAGTTATTTTTATAAAAATGTTATAGAAGATACTGTTCATTGCATCACGGTCTTCTTTATGAGGACCATCAGCAAAAATTCTTGCTCCGTCTTAGTAAGAACATTTGTATTTTTTCCTGAAAAACTGGTCGTTTTAAGGTTATGAACACTGAGTGATATAACTGGCTAGGCTTCTCTTTTCCAGTTGTCTGATTCATAGCCCAATTTTTGGATCGCCTCTAGCACTATAATATAAAATTTTTAAAAATATCCTCAGTCCTGGATCTTGTATTTATCCTCACTTTTCTCACTTTCCCTTTTACTTTTCTTCTTTTATTCCCACTTTAATGTGGTGCTATGCAGAATGCAGAGTAAAATAAATTCATATTACATTTTATGGAAAGAATCATCTGGGTAGCTTTAAGAAAAGTCCTCATGTCTTGACCCCACTATACACCAGTTAAAATCACTTCATCTACAAGTAGGGCCAGGCATCTGTGGTTAAAATCTTCCAGGTGATTCTGATGTGCAGACAACTGAGAACTGCTCTAGAGAAAAGACTTCATATGTGCCCAGAGACACATACCAACCTATTTAATGTAACATTATTTGAAATAAGGAAAAATGGAAAACAACATAAATGTCCATCAGGAGGAAAAAAATACATGTGCTGTGAAATGAAAGAAATAGACCCACATATGCCATCAAGAGCAGATTTCAAAAGTGAGTGAAAACTCAGATTTCAGAAGAGCAGGAGAGCATCTGTCTAAAGTCCAGAAAACACAGAAAGCAATGCTATATGCTGTTCATGGGTACATATATATTATGATAAAAATATTAAAATGTACTAGAAATATACACAGCAATTATCTAATAGTGGCTGGATTTGGGGAGAATTGGAGAATGGGACTATGGAAGAGAGCAGAGATATCTTCAATTGTATTGGTTTTGTTTTATTTCTTTAACCAAAATTAAAATAGCTGAAAAAGTGACAAAATGTTGTGCTTTCCTATATTTTCATAGTGTCCAAAAATTTTAAAAATAGTTATTCAATAGTAATTGTAATACTGGCTCTTGAGACTCTGATATTTTGATGTCCTGTGCTACTTTTAAGTACAAAAATACCAATACAATTATTTAAATTTTAAAAAAAAATCTGAAATCTAGGGGCTGGCCCCATAGCCTAGTGCTTAAGATTGACACACCCAGCTTCAGCGGCATGGGTTAGGCTCCCAGGCATAGACATATGCTACTCGTTGGTGGCCATGTTGTGGTGGCGACCCACATACAAAATAGAGGAATACTGGCACAGATCTTAGCTCAGGGTGAATCTTCCTCAAGCAAAATGAGGAAGATTGGTAATAGATATTAGCTCAGGACGAATCTTCCTCAACAACAACAACAAAAAAATTGAAATCTGAATTATTTACATATTGAGATGTACCTAGAATATTATATACTGCATTGAAATTTTTATTTACTTTTTTAATTGAGGTAATGTTGGTTTATAACATTACATGAATTTTTCAAGTGTATATCAATATATTTCAATTTCTGTGTAGCCTACATCGTGTTCACCACCAATAGTCTAGTTGCCATCTGTCACTGTTGAAGTGTGCCCCTTTGCCCCTTTTGCCTCCTTCCCTTCTGGCAACCACCAATCTCTTCTCTGTACCTGTGTGTTTGTTTGTTGTTGTTGTTGTTTATCTTCCACATTTATTTAGAATAACAGAGGTATTGTGGCAGCCAAGAGCTTACAAATTGGCAGTTCTTAAAGGTTCCAGATGCAGGACTGAGACATCTGTTTGAGGAACTGAAAGGAGATCAATGTTGCGGAAGCATAATAAATGACAGAGTGGTGTAGAATGAGTTTGGAGAGACCGGGATCGTGGTAAAAAGTGTGGGTTTTATTCTAATTATAATGAAAAGTCATTGGAGTGTCTTAAGCAGGAGAGTGATACATTCTGATTCATGCTTTATAAGAAGATCACTTTGGTTGCTGTGGAGAGCATCGGTTCTTGGGGAGGGATGGCAAGAATGGAGTAACTTTGTTGGCAGCTGTTGCCATCATCCGCTCAGGAGATGATCTGGAGTACCTGGGCTGTTGGGTTAGCAGTGGAGGTGGTGGCAAGTAGGAGTCTTCAGACTACATTTGGAAGTGGAGCTGATGTAACTTCCTGGTGGACTGGGGATGAGGGAAACAGAGGTATCAAGGCTGAATCCTGGATTTCTTACTTGAGTGGTCAAGTGGATGACGGCGTCGTTTACTGAAATGCCGAAGACACGGAGAGAAAACATTGGGAAGTGACAGTCAAGGGTTAATGCTAGAGTTGCAGTTGGAAATTTTCATTCACTACTAAACTCAAGAGATGTTTAAAAATATTGTCCCTACTTTCTTATCGCTGATCCATACCCCAGACTTCTCCAGTCTGTTTTCTGTCTCTTCTACTCCACTAAAATTGCTCTAATCACAATTATCAGTCACCTTCATATTGGTCACTTTTCAGCTTCTCAGTAGCAGTCAAGACTTTTAATCCCTCCCTCATTCTTAAAGTGTTTAAAACCCAGTATCTGACTTTAAGGAAAGAGGCGTTTTCCTTCAATGAAATCATGTCCCAGATGCAAACTCCAATCCCCCTGTCCTCTAAGATCTGGTTATTAATTGCCTGCACACACATGCCACACCCTGGAAAGTCAGCTGCCTTGTTCCAAATTTCTTTGAATTTCAGAGTGGATTAGTTTGGTTATAAATTGTGTTTCTTTCCCTCCTTGGCCGTCCCTGTGCTTCGCTGTGTCAACGCAGATGGAAACTTAGCTCTTTTTCTTGCTTTGCACACGGTGAAAAATACATCCCATAAAGTCTTTGGTTTTGTAGTAGATTTTATTGAAAGTCTGGAGAGATGGAGGAGAGTTACACTGTAGAAATGTAAATAGCTAAAGAATCGATTATAAGATATTGCTGTTCTTTAACTATTTTTGAAATTCAAGCAGAGTATTCTGTCAAATTGCCCCGGCTTACTTTTTGTACTCTTTCCTCATTTTTTCGGAAGAAAATGAATCCTCCTATTTTCTTATGCATTAAAATTTGACTTCATCCAGCTCCAACCCTTTGCATATCCAAGAATAGACTGCTGGTTGAAGGGCTGAAGATGTCTCCCCTCTCATTAGTTCTTCCCGTTAGTCCCACCCCAGCTTCTTTGTCTTCCAGAAATCCCTCTAAGTGCCTTGGCCACTAATAATTTTCCCTGTTCACCACTGCTATCCTGGTTTTATTCTCGCTTTATGTATCTACTGCTGTTTTGACAGGATTAAAGGAAGAGAACAAAGAGTAAATGTGTAGGCTCTCAAGGCAGAAGTCGTTCTCTAAATTAAAAATGTGCACATCCTGTGATCCAGCAATTCCATTTTCTAGGGACAGATCCTGTAGCCAATTGTATTTTCCAAAGATGGCAGAGCAGCACCTCACATCCCACATGCTCTCCTGCAGCGGGGCCTTGCCAGGCCCCCATCAAGAGCAATTCGACTTCATTCCTTCCAGCCTGGAAAATAAGAATTGACCTATTTCTAACTGATGAAGGATGAGATAATGCACCCTTTTTTTTTTTTTTTTTTTTGATCTATGGAGAAGTTCCTTTACAAAGTTTCTTTAAAACCTTTAAAGGAAAGCAGTGATGTTTCATTTTCAAGAGCGCTGCCACAATGTAAACACCTCAACTTGATTCCCACAGAACCTATTCTACAGTGGCATCTTGGGAGTGTAATGACCAAGAACGATGTCAGGAAATTGTATCCACATGTGGTAGATCTCACAGTGACAAAGTGCCCCTGCGCCAATGATGTAGCGTTACTTGGCTTCATTTTGAATGCAACACTTGACGGTGAGTTCACGGCTTTATGGAATGTTGGAAGAGGCGTTTTGTATTTTCTAACAGCGATGTTTAACTGGCAGTGCACGTTAAATGCATAGACGTAATGGAGTAAAAATGTTTCCTAAAAGCACTTAAGAACTGACTCTTTGTCACTTCACCTTGTCTACTTGCAAGTGTGATATTTTATTTTTTTCTCCGAGACTTTCTGCCACGTATTAACATGGTGACTTTAGTATCTTTCGTAATTCCCTTTATCCGCTGTCCTCTGTTAATATATTATTTCCTCTCGGAGATTATTCATTGTGTTTCTAATCCATCTGCTATTCTTGCCATGTGTAAATAGGTATTGTTGTTTTAAGATATCAGATTATTTTATTTATTGTGTATGTGTTTTTCCATTACTATAATATTTAATAGGATCTTTACACATTTAAGGATTGTTCTAGTTGTTTTTCTCAAGTAACTGATAACCTCCTAGTCCCCAAATTCAATGAATATAAAGGCAAAAAAAAAAAAGAAATAAAAGAATTTAAAAATAAGAAACAAAATTTTCTTACTCATAGATAATTTATGTATCTATATAAAAATCCAAAAGAATCAACAGAAAAACTATCAGGACAAATATAGGAATGCCACAAAATCACAAAATTGAGGGGTATAATAACAATATATAAAAACCACCCCACCGAAGACTAATTAAAGATTATAATTTTTAAAATCCTATTCAGAAAGTAACAAACCTTCAAGAGGAACTTAGGAATCAACCAAAAAAAAAAGAGAGAATTGTAAGGTCTATTGTATAGAAATTATAAAACTTTAATGAAGGCCGTAAAGAAGACTAAAACAAATAAGATATTTTATGTTCATGAACAAGAACTCCTAGTATTATAAATATGTAATTCTATCCAAATTTGTCAATCAGTTCAAAACAATTCCAAGAAAAACTATACCAGTATTTTTGTGTGTATGGAAGGTAACAGGCCAATCCCAAAATTCATATGGGAGGCTGAAGTAACATGTGTAACGTAATTTTAAATAGAATATAAAGAACAAAAACTTGCCCTACTTGCCTGACTTGTTATAAAGTCATAGATCAAAACAGCATGCACTGGTATAGGGCTGGACAAATAGCCCTGGCCCCGGTTTTGTTGAATTCCTAATGGCTTCCAGTCTTTGAGCTCTCTCTAGTTAGAGCGCCTGCTTCTGCTGAGTTAGCTGAGTTAGAAATTGTGTCTCTTTCCCCTCTACCTCAACCAGGTAGAAACTCAGCTCCTTTTCCAGCTTTGTTCTGTGGATGCGAGCCTGGGGCTCCTCCTCCTTCTCTTTATCCAAACGCTAGTACCTGGAGCCACAGGGGAGGAGCCGTTCTCATCTGCATGTGCTCCCTCCTGCCACACCACTGACAGTCACAGGAAAGAAGGGGCAGTCTCTACTCCTGGGATCTCACTCACCAGACCGCCTCAACCTCCCAAGGAAAGAAACAGCTTCAGCAACCTGTTCTTTAGATGAGCTGGCTTTTCCTACGCTGGCCACCACTGTACCTAAGCCAAAAGGTTCCCACAGTATCAAGCTGCCTCTGGCTAAACTAGCAGTTCCTTTGCGAGGCCCTTTTTGTCCCCTTCTGGCCTCCATTCCACATGGAGTTGACGGTGGGAACAGGTATCCAGAAGCCCCATGTGTTCCCGTGTGGACTTATTACCCACCTTCCTTCTCTGTAACACTCCTAACACATCCATCACGCCTTTCATCCAAGTTTTATCAATCGCCCCCAGAAATCTAAGCTTCCCAGGTCACTTGTGGCCACCCTAGCCCACACTTCCTTTAGTTTCTCCCAAACTTCTGTCCCTCTCCATTCACCCAAATCCTTTCATTGGAATCTGTGGTCTGTCTTCAGGAAACTCCCGCACACTACTAATCTTTTCTCTGAGTGGCCTGTTAACCTTCTTGCCGTGAAGAGTGACCTGGCCATTCCCAGTTAGCATTCTCTCCCTTGCAGCCTTCTCACATGTCGCATGTCTCAGAGCCCAAGGGCAAGGTTATCCTCCTTGCTCCTTAGGGCTGCCTCTTAATAGTTACTCTCCTCTTCTTCAAAATGCCCAGTTCCTCTGAACTCAGACTTTACCTCCCTCTGACTCTTCTTGGGTGCCAGCCTGTGGCACTCACTCACTCATTGATGAGTTTAGCCTCTGGACCCCTGCCTTCCTCTCCACCTTATTTTTGTCACTATTTTCAGTGACTTCACCATCCATATGGATGACCATGCAATATGCAGTTTCAAGGCCTCCTCACCTCTAATGATCTTTCCTCCATCTTGCTTCTGTGGTCATATTCCTGGCATTGTCGGCTCTAACGATGTTACTATCTCTAAAATTTCCACGACAAGCATCTCATGCTCTGTCCACTACCTCCTGTTCTTTCAGTCTACTCTAGTACTCAACGTTCCAATATTTCTTTGGGTTCATTGAGACTTCATTATGTTGTACCTACCACTTTTTTCACCACCCAACATCCATATTTTCCTCTTTTCTCACCATAATTCGCATAGTCCATCCTTACAAATACCTCTGTAACTTTCTCGCTCTTCTCTTCTTCCATACCAGTACAACCCCAACTCTAGCAAACCACCTCTACTCCGGCACTGAAATAGCAGAATGTTTCTAGGAAAAAATTGCACACCAGTCTCACTTTAAAATTCCATCGACTGGTCTTGCTGTAAATTCACGATCATAAATTCAAGTGGGTACTCAGCACTGCCCAGAAGTCCTATCTTTCTTCCCCGGTATGTTTATTTTCCCACTCTGCAAAATGACCTTATGGCACCTCTTCCCACTCCTCAAACCCTCTATATCACTTCCTTTCCCTTTTCACTCTCAGCTATGCCTTTATCTAATACTTCGTTCACGCTGGAGATCAAGATTGATCACAAGGAACTCCTTCATCATTACACCTGAAAACATTCCATCCAACTTTCATTTTTACTTGCATTTGCCTTTTTGCCTGTTGCATGGTGAGAAGTGTCTCTGCTGCTATCAAAGGGCACCTGTCACCCCTTGCATTCCGCCAGCCGTCTGAAGAGCCTTGCTCCTGCATCTTTCCTGAAAACTTCAACTTTCTCTCATGCATCATCACGCTCTCCCTCCTTATTGTATCAGATCCATTGACACACAAGCACAGCTTAACATCCCCCATCTTAAGCAAAATCTTCATTTATCTCACTTTACTCCCATCCCTCATTTCTCTCATCTCCTTCAAAGCAAAATTTATGGAAAGAATTTATTGTAGACGGTACTACATTTTCCACCTCCCATTTTTATCTTCATTCCACTACAAATCCGTCTTTTGTTCCCACCACTCTACTGAAACGGTTCTTCCCAAGATCACCCATGATCTCCAGATTGCCAATTCCAACAGTCAGTTCTTTACCCTTTTTCTACTTTCCCTCCCAGCAGCATTTGACACAGTTGACCACTATCCTCAAAACACTTGATTCTCCTAGCTTTCTTGACACCACCTTCAATTGCTTGTATCTTACCTCACTGGTCACTCCTTAGTTTTCTAGGCCAGCTCCTTTTTGGTGTGACCCCTAAAATGTTGATGAACCCAGGGCTTTGTCCTCATCTCTCTTTCTTTATGTAACCACGTTCTTTCTCTGGGAAACTTAATGCGGTCTCATAATAATAATGCCGTCTTCAGGCTGATAATTCCCAAATCTATATTTCTCATGCTGACTGCTCCTTTGAGACCAGACTCCCATATTCAATCGTCTATTTTGCGTTTCCTCTTGATGTCTAATGAGCGTCTCAAATATGAAAAGTCTAATCCAGAACTGTTGATGCTTCATTCCCTAAAATCCGTTCCTTTCCAGTATTCCTCAACTCATTTCACATCCAGTTATTCAAAACTAAAATCCAGGGCACGTTCTTGACTACTTCTATTCTCATGACATTCCAGAATGGTGCTATACCTGGTGTCCATCCCCAACACGACCACTTCTGTCCTCTGCTAAAATCTTATGTCAAGTCAACACTGTTTTTCCATGAGACTAATCACAGCCTCTTAAGTGGTCTCCCTGTTTGTATTCTTGCCCCAGGACAACCCACCCTCCATACAGCCACCAGAGTGATCTCAAGTGTCAACCAAGCCACATCACTTTCCTGCTTCAAACATCCCAGTGGCTTCCCTTTCCCCTTTAGAATAAAATCCAGACTCTTCCCAATGATCCACATCAGCTTCGGTAACCCTGGGATACAGTTGTGGTCAGTTTGTCATAGAGAGCGGCCTGTAACTTAATTTCATTCCATCTTCTTAACCAGAATAAAGCATTTATTTTACTGCTTCCTTCTCCATTGAATGTTTTTAAACTTCCCATGAGTCTGGCCATGTGATATCGTGCTGGACACCCATCATCATCCTCACTTAGAATGCAGTAGAGCTAGCCTGTTACCTGCAGAACTGGGCTTAATGCTTAGAAAGGCAAAGCTTGTCTTTAGCTTTCCTCTTCCCGGAAAAAGTAGACAATAATAATACTTCCTTCCTCATCTCTTCCTATGCGGAAAAGAGCTGGGAGTTAAAAGAAACACTTCACAGCGTGAGTGGTCCTACATTCATCTTTTGGAAACAGAGTATATACATTAGCGTATCAACTGTCTTCAGGCCCCCCCTGTCCCCCACCGTCCACAGTAGTTATGCCTGTTGACCAGACTTCAGAGTGACATTCTACATTTAAAACACAAAAGACTCTTAATCTTCCCAACCATGGCCAAGGAAAGGTGGGACCAGGAACAAAGCGCTTTCAGTATTTGCAATATGTTCATTCTTCTTCTTTTAATAGGTTCTCATGAAGCATTAGCAAATATATTTCTTATTTTTTAAATCACTGATATTAAAGTAAATCAAACATAGTTTCTTGCCTCTTGGAGGTTACATTTTAATTTTCTTCTTTGGAGTTTTTTTTTTTTTTTTTATTGTTGACTACGATTACATTCCTGAAATAGGAACATATTTATGTTTAGAAGAAAATTGTCAAGGAGGAAAAATTCTTCCTCTATCCTCTTATGTTCAACAAATGGGGGCCTGCAAATTAAACTAAAAAAGACAGATCAGCAAGAGAAAAGGCATGCAATTTTTATTAATATTTACATTCATGGGAGTTTTCAGAAAAGAAGTGATACTCAAAGAACTGGTTAAACTTGGGGGGATATATACATTATAACAAAGGAAGAGGGTCTGGGCCTCAAGGGGTGGTAAATTATGGGGAGTGACCAGGAAGTATGTGATGGGACCAACGGGAGATAAGAGTTATTTTAGTAAAGTCTGTTTATGCAAACTTGTCTCAGTGTTGACTCCCCATCTCTGGCGATAAAAATGCTCTTCTCTTCCTGGTGGTGGGAGGGGAAGGGTACCTTTCTCAAGGGGAAATTTATGCCCTGCTTTTAGGTAAATAAGGGGAGGGCAGAGGACTCTGCCTGCTTCTGTTGATTCTCAATTGCCTCCGTTTCAAAATAATCCTCATGCCGAAGTGGTGTATTTTGATCCCCTTGAATTTAAAACAAAATCTATAATAATTAAATCAGATAGTTGGCTAAAATCCCGTGGTATAAACTGAAGTTACTTCATCTTTCCAGCTCGGGGAAGCAAGATTCAGACTGTGGGGAGGTGTGTTGAGGCAGGGCCGTAGAAAGGGTTGGAAGGTGGAGCGGACTGGCCCCTAAAGACCCAGCACCGTGGGAGTGAGTGACTCACTCTGCAGAGTCATTCAGGCTTAATGCTTCTTTCCTCTCACGGTAGGTGTTTACATAGGCCTCAGCTTTTCGGGATTTTGGAATTATGACAATACCACGTGGTATAACCTGACGGATATGATCTATTCCCAAGTCGGAGAAGGTAATGCCTCTAACAGTGCCTTCGTCTTCAGCATTTCGTTTCTGTCATCACTTGATCAATATTTATGAAATGTCTTTCTTTGCCGAGGAGGTTTTTAACCCGTGGTGTGATTTCTTCCTTTAGAACACACAGAGCTTTCAGTGGTGGACATGGTTTTAACAAATCATTTTTTAGTTATCCTTACCTCTTTGGGTCTTTTTATAAGTGGAGATCTTCGTTATCCATCATCCTCTGTCTTAACGGTACGTGAATTGCTTTCTAACTAAGAGTTAACCTTCAATATCTTCTGTGACGTAAAGTAAAAATATTGGACACTTGAGTTATATGTGGTATAGCTCAGAATTGAAATGCTTCTTCCTTTTGAAAAATGCAAAAGCATCACATGGCAACTTTCTCCTTTGCCTTATAGTGTGGAATATGTGATTTGAAAATGGTGCTAGTTTTATTGCTATACAGGTTTATAGTAAGTTTAAATACTGCAAATAGAAAACACTTTGTCTATCTAACTACCTGTCTATCTATCTATAGTTACATATGACCCCAAAATGCTTGAGGGTGATTTACAAAGAGAAATATAGTATTACAAAGTAACGTAAGTTAAAAGTAAGTTTTGGGACTGAGAGAAGGGGAATGCAGATTTTGGTGAGGATACGCAGTCTGCATACCGTGACATTCTTAAACATGTTAATAAACACCTCTCAAAGAATGACCACCCAGAAAAAAGAGCGGTAGGAAAGCCTTAGGAGCAGTAGAAGAAAAGATAAAGGGGAACATAGAAGGGGCAATTGTATCGGCTGAGAAGCAGGTATTTCATACACATGGTAACTGTCCTCTTTCTTCAGGGTACGAGTATTCACAGCCTCCTGTCCTTCCTCAAAGTCTCTGAGAAAGTACCATTTGATGCTCAGATATCTAATAGCTCTGGCCTCTTATGTGCTTTTCATTTGATTGCTAAAGTGGAGAGTTGAAGCCAGGGGCTGTGACCTGAGATCAAAGCACAGAGAGTTAGGCCCGGGCTGTGCATCCTGAGGGCCTCGTCTAGGGGCTGCCCTGGGCTGGGCGGAAGACGTGGAGGAGTGACAGGATCCGGGAGTTCCTTCCTAATCCCCAGTGGGGGCAGACTCCGTATCTTTCTGCACACTTAACGCCTCCATTGAAATCATTAGGAGGTGAGGCTGTGATCTCAAGTCCTTTCTGGCATTAAGTTGAAGTATAAGTAAATTGATCAAATGGTGCAACAAGGCAAAGACCGAGGGGCGAATCTCCAGGATGTTGTGTAAATGACTTTAGAGGCTGGTTTTAGTGTTTGACTCCTAAATGCTGGGATGTAAAAAGCATCATTTCTTTTAGCTTAATTTAAATTGCTATGTTTTGTTATGCCTTCTGATATGCAAGCGAAAATTAAAGTTTCTTTTCTTTCCTTCTAGTTTTCAAGGGCAGACTTTTGTGGTTTCGAAAGGGTAAGAAGCTTTAAGTTTCCAAGGGTTGGTTAAAACCCTTGGTGACCTAAGAGATGAGATAAGACAAGAATTCATAATATAGATTATTCCTGATACTATACTATAATTTACAGTTTGAACTAAAAGAAAGTATTTCCCGGGATGATTAAGCAATGATCTCCCCTTCTGTTTCAAAGGAAGAAATGTCCCCTCGTTGTTTCCGAGGCCGCCCCCACCCCTTCTTTGTATGTTCTGTCCAGGATTGCTGTGGTGGTTCAGGTGTGTGCTGCACACGGTGCCCGGTTGAAAAGAGACTGGGAACTGGAGTCTGGCCAATACTTTACTCCCAGATCCATCACCCGCCGTGTAGAGCTGTGCCCACCTGGAGAAAAGGGCGCTCTCTCTAATTTGCACACAGGTGCCACATAAGCTAACCACAGCTCTGATTCTGGCCTTTTTTGGGGGGATTTTGTTCCATCAGTTATCCTCCCTCTCGGGAGAAAGTCAAGTTTTGTGATTCAACTAGTTTGTTCCCATCAACATATAAGCATACTTCAACTTGGAAGCCACAGCACAATTACGGGTATTCTTAGCCTGTGCCACGTCCCTTCCCCATTCCATCCTCATACAGTCTTGTGGGCACACACCCACATGTGCACACACACACACTCTCACACTATCCAGAAGGAAGGAGCACTTATTTCTCAGGAAGCAAATGGAACTGACTTCTTGCCATACTCATCGTACTCATCAGAGGAAATGTGAAGGAGAAAACAACTAAAAAATAATCCATCAGTTCCACAACAAGCAAAAGAGGAAGAAAACATGCAAAGAGAAAAGAATGGGAAGCCAACTATAAAGTAAGATGGCGGAAATCAATCCAAATATAGCGGCTGTTATAATCAATATAAATGAGTATTATAGAAAACTAAAGATAATCTAGCTATATGCTAATTGCAAGAGGTATACCTAAAAGTGAATCACACAAAAAATTGTAAAATAAAGTGATGGAAGATTGTAATCTGAGCTTTGCTCCCTGCCCCTCAGCTCCGCTAACTTCCATCTCTGGTCTGCCTGCCTGTTAGGTCAGAGGTGTTTGGGGGCTGCTGGACAGCTGGACCCACTCGAAGCCCAAGCTTTGAGGAATCCCACTGAGGAGACCTGGCCCGTGAGAGCAAGGCATCTGGGAACACAGAGATGCAGGCGGAGGACTGGGAGGTGGGGGATCCTGGAGGAGCTTGGCTTGCAGAGCTCCATGAACAACCAGGGAAGGTTTCTAGCAGCCGTGCAAGTGTGGCTGGTCTCCGAGCCAGCAGCCTAGTGGGAAGGCTGCATTCTCCCCGTGCCTGAGGTGGGCAGGCTGACGGAGACCTGGCAGCAAGGAAGCCTCTTTCTGGTTTGGTGGTGAGGGAGAACAGCAGCCCGGAGGAGAGTGACCACGTGGCCGTCTGTCACTCCAGTGTTGCCACACTCTGAGCGGCTCCCCAAACCGGACCTGAGCCCGCCCTTCAAAATACATCTAACCTAGCCCAGCATCCTGAGAATGTAAGATCATTAGAATCAAAATATACAGCAGAGTTGCTGATGGAGAAAGCAACAACTGAACAAGAACAGCAAGACCTAATTAATTCATTTAACAGTTATCCAGTGAGCACCTGTTATGAGTTTACTGTCATTGGCACTGGGATATGAGCAAGAAGAAAAGACAGCCAATGTCCGTAAGGAGTTTCAAGTGCAGCATAAAAGTACTTCCTGGGACTAAATACCACAAATTGCAATTAAAAAAATGGGATGTATTGAGGGATAGACTAGCCACTGTTTAGATGCAGGTGAGTGACGTGGAAGATCAAGAGAAAGCAACTTCTCAAACCATCGAGGGAAGATAGATGGAAATCACGAGGTTGAAAATGAGCCTTTGAGGAGGATCTGGATGGTATAAGAGGTGAGTGCTAGAGTTTTCAGAGGGAATGAAAAAGGGGCAGATAGAAGAGAGTCAATACTACAACTAACAATGGAAGAAAATTACCCTGAGATTAAGAAAGATCCAAGACTATATACTGAAAAGGTCGACTAAATCCTGACAGGGCTGAAACAAATGTACGCGTAGGCTTATCCTAGATATGTTTCTGAATTTGGAGGTTAAGGGGAAAATACTACAGGTTTCCAGACAGAAAGAAAATCAACGTCTACAGGCTATCAAAACAAAGGGACCAAAGTCCAAAAATCCTATTTCCAGCCAAGAGATTATTCATCTTTCAGATTAAGAAAGAATTTAGAGAGTGTACCACCCAGTTATTCCAACTAAGGAAAATACTCAAGAAAGAGCTTTAACATAATAAACAAATGAGAAGAGAGATTAGGGAGATAAAGAGAAGAGGAAAGAGTGATGAGCAACGTTTAGCTGTTTCTCTCATTTCACCTACCTCTCATAGCTATCTATTTATATGTTTTCTGCCTACCTATATAAATCAGAGTGCAGTGCTAGATGAGGCATCTTGAAACAGAGAGGACATGTAGTAGGGAAGTTAGAAGTTTCAACATCTAAAAATATTATTTTCAAATAATAGTCCATTCCCATAGTTAAAAATCAAAAAAGTTATATAAAGATATACACTGAGAAGTCTCACTCCCACCTTGTATATACTCACCATGCTTCACCCTGGCCCCTACAGGAAACTATTTTTATTATTTTATATCTTTTCAGTGATTTTTAAATGTAAATTCAAATAATTATGAATATATAGTCTTCTCTTCACTTTGTTACACCATATACTAAATATATACATATCTTGTAGTTTTCACTTACCAATATATCAGGGGAAAAATTCCATATTCATATGTAGAGAATGGCCTTTTTATTCTTCATTTATTTTTATAGCTGCAAGTATTCCATTGTGCGGCCTTACCGGAATTTACTTATGCTGAACCCTATCAATGGACATTTGGGTAGTTTTCTAATCTTTTGCTATTACAAACAATGCTACCATTAATAATTTTGTACCCAGCAAGTTTATATGTGTCCACGCATATTGGGACAACACACTCCTTAAACTTGGATTGGCAGATTAAGGAGTAAATGCTTATGCAATATTAAAAGGTAATGACAAATTGCCCTTCATAGAGGTTTTTGCCGTTTGCAAGGATATTATAATAAATCCTCTTGAGCTAAAATATCTCAGCGAAACTCAGGGGTTTTTAGTAGTGATGAGAGAGAAGGGGAATACGAGGGGTCACAGGGTAGTGAGATAGTGTGGGAGAGAGGAAAGGGGAAAAGTGAACTTGTTCATGAAAGCATAGGGGGTAGGGGGTTACCTTTGGATGAGACCTCTTTCATGATGATTGAAGGAAGGCTGGTAAGTATCAGGTGTATGTGGCTGCTCAGGCGGATAGTTGAAGGGGTTAACACTTGATGATTTATTCATTCGCTTATTCGTCTATTCAACAAATATTTGTTGAGCACTTCCCATATGCCAGGCTTGTTTGGACAAAGAGGATTCCAGAGTGAACAAGATGGATAGGGTCCCTGCTGTTGTGTAGATTACCATTCTATTGTGGGAGATAGACTGTAAACAAGTACACAAAAAAATGCATACTATGATTGTAGATAATAATATGAGCTTATTGAAATTAAAGCAGATAAGGGAAATAGACAGTGAAGGGGAGATAATATTGTATTTTCAATAAGGTGATTATAACAGGCTTCTCCAAGGGGGTGAAATTCAAGCAGAAACTCAACGACTTGAAGGAATGATTTCAACAAAGCGTTTCCAGACAGAGGGAATGTTGAGTACAAAGACTCTAAATTGGGAACTTGGCATGAGGCAACGTCTGTTAGTTAGCCACCAAAATCTGTTTAGTGGAAATAGCAGGGGCTTTGGGTTGCTTCTTTAAGGATAAAATTCAAACTCTTGTGAGACAAGATCCTTTGAAGTCAGAGCCTTCCTCACCTCCTCAGCCTCGTCACCCACCCCTCACCTCGTGCCGTCCTTTCCAGCCGCGCTAAACTACTCGCCTTCCCTGAAGTCAGCCAACATTTCTTGCAGCTCAAATCCTTCGCATAAAATGTTTTATCTTCTTAGCATGCACTCCCTCCTCCTCTCTTCAACGTCACTGGAGAATTTCTATTCATTCTTCAGGAATCTCTCCCTGACCGCCAAGGTGCCCTTCCTGGGCAATCGCAAAGCTCTCAACACGAATTCTTGTCGTTTATCACACTCTTTTGTCTGTTTGGCCCCCTGACTAGCCTCACAAGACTTTAGGTTTCATGTCAAGGACCATCTTAGTTACCGTCGTATGCTAACAAGTTACTGCACTGCTCGCGCAGAGGCGGCCTCAGTATTTGCTGAATCAATGAGTGAATAAATCTTGTCCTAGCTCGTTAGCCATGTAACATGTGACTTTGGATAAGTTGTATAACTCCCTGGACATCGATTTCTTTATTTTAAAATGCGTATAATAATGTCCACCTCTTAGAGGTGAGGTGATTAAATAGCGTTACATGAGAAAAAACTCAGCACAGTTCATAAAACAAAGCAGAAACTTAAAAGAAAAAATAACTGGCTTCTCTTCCCTACACAGATAGTCAGAACCTTTTGAAGGCAAATGACAGAAACCAAAGCAAAACTGATTTTAGCAAAGGAGGGGACGTTGTTGGCTCATGTAAATAGGGAATTCAAGGGGTGAATGAATCCGGCCTCCAGACGTGACTGGATTTACTGCCTAAGAGATTGGTAGGACTCAGTCTTCTCAAGGTCTGGGCCTGCTCTCCTCTATTTTAGCTTCATTCTCAGTAGGTTTTTCTCCAGTTGTTAATAAGAATAGCCATCAGGCTTATATGCAATCAGTTTAGCAACCCCAACAGGAAAAAAGTGTCTCTTTCCCAGTGGTTCCAGCACATCTCAGGGCCGACTCATTACCCTGACTTGGGTCATGTGTTCGTCCCGACCAATCCTCGTGACTGTCAATCAGGCCTCGGTCATGAGCTTATCCTTAGAATGAAGGTGGCCGGATCGGAAATTGTCCCCAAGGATAATCGTTGGGCTGTTACTACTTTGATTCCAGGTAGGAAAAAAACAAGGAATCTAAAGAGAAAGAAAAGGAATGAGTTAGGGCCCAATAAAGATTCTATATTAATTGCCCAGATGTTGTGATAATTACGGCATCCTGCAAACCTGAAGATTTATATGAGAACTCAAAAGATTCATTTGATATAACACCTTAGCTTGAAGATACCACACCATTCAGATAAATTCTTGTCCATTCCATTTTAAAGGACTTTTTTGTTTGTCTAGAAGTTTTATTGAGATATAATTCACATTGCATAAAATGCACCCTTTAGGGGCTGGCCCTCTAGCCTAGTGGTTAAGTTCAGTGTGCTCTGCTTCGGCAGCCCGGGGTCACAGGTTTGGATCCCAGGAGTGGACCTACTCCACTCATCAGCCATGCTGTGGCAGCAACCCACATACAAAGTAGAGGAAGACTGGCACAGATGTTAGCTCAGGGCCAATCTCCCTCAGGAAAAAGAAAATGCACTCATTTAACGTGCAAAATTCACTAGCCTTTAGCATAGTCACAGAGTCACCACAGCCAATGTTTTGGAACATTTAAAAGGGTTTGAATGCACGGATTGTGCAGACTTTGTTACTGGTCTTTAGAAATGTAAGGCAGACTTCCCTTTGTCTCAACAATAATTTAAAGTCAGAATCTTCCTATAACAAAATCATCTCAAACTCTTGCGTATAATTAATATCCAACATATACATTCTCACTTTCTCGGAAGTTTCTCTCTTATGACCAAATTGTCAAGATGTGTATTTTTGTGGCTTTTTTCGTATTGCTTCTTGCAGCTGTCAGGCTTTTGTGAAGACTCCTTGAGCCAGCTGCAGCTAATGAATAAAAGAGAAGCGTGTGACCGTTGTACCTGAGATGAAAAGCTAACAGTTTCTGGTAGCTTCAGAAAAACAGTTCATAGACTGGGGCATCTTCCACTAACATGCTAATTCATGTGAAATTTCTTTTCTTTTATTCTTTCTGTGGTGTTGTTCAAAAAGCATATTTTTGTTTCTTGTCCTCATCCTACAACCTTTTATTTTATTTACATACATTTTTTCTTTCTTTATTTGCTTCACGTACCTGAACTATTGAACTTTTACATTTTTTGTTTGTTTGGTTTTTGGGTTTTTTTGGTGAGGAAGATTGGCCCTGAGCTAACATCTGTTGTCAGTCTTCCTCTATTTTGTATGTGGGCTGCCACCATAGCATGGCTTGATGAGAGGTGTGTAGGTCACACCCAGCATCCAAATCCGTGAACCCCAGGCCACAGAAGTGGAGCATGCAAACTAAACTGCTATGCCACTAGGCTGGCCCCAAACTTTTACATTTTTAAGTTTTTTCTTCCTTATATCTTAAGTCCATGTATTGCCTAAATGATATTTTTTTAAATTTATTTATTGATGTAGGTTGACTATGTCAAAGGAAAACTGTGGTATAACGAAAGATGTTTTGCTAACAGAGAACACTTTGAAGGTAAATTTTAGTGAACGATATTAATATGCTTTTTCCCACGTAACATATATAGATTAAATAAAATGACATAAAATCAAAATAGAATAAAATGTAAAGATAGGTTTGTTTTGTATAAGTTAATGGCCTAAAACTGAGGGGAAAAATTAGTTTAAATGAGACAATAGGCATGCCCTGTTTGAAGTGCAAGAAAAATTGTATTTGAGCCTATTTAGTTATTGATACATTTAGAAATATAGATATTGCTCGTAATTTTTGTATCTTTGTATTTTATAGTTGATTATGTTACTATCACCTTTGAGAGAAACAGGACCCTAAGTGAGGTATGGTATTGAATATTTTAAAAGGTAAGAAATTTTATTGTGCGTGATTTCATGAATTGTTATTCATCTAAAAAATGATAATTCTACAGTCCAAAAGCTTAACGATCACTCTTTGCTCCTAGTGGTGCCTCTACTTGGGTTTCATGGTAATTCCCTAGTTATGTTAAATCTAGACCTACACAGTGTTCTAGAAAAACAGCCCACGCCAGAAAAGGATGCTTTGCAGTATTTTCTGGACTCATAGCCCCCAGAAGAGAAGCACGGGTGTTAAAGATTCATGACTGTTTTTTGTGCTCAGCCAGGACAACACAATGGTTCATTAGTTTATTTGCCTAAGAGAACCAAGTAGGACTTTTAGTTCAAGAACGGCGTTAACTTTTCCTTTCTCTTTTTGTAGGCAAGCTCTTGTTTTTATAGTAAAGAACCGTTTCTTGAATGGTTGCCTTGCTTGCCTCACATTTCAAAAGGAGCAAAAACTATTCCTTCAACTGTGATAACATTTCTCGTTGACCAAGAGCATAGTTCTGGAATCTACCTCTTCCAAAACCAGGTGGGCCTTACTGCCCAGGGATGATTGCTCTGGACACTACAGCAAGGAGAAGTTACCTTTGCAAAGCGTATTTCCAAGTTCTTGTTATCTTTGGCAATAGAAGTTGATAAAATTGGCTTTATTATTTATTTAAATAATATAACCACCAAATTACTTATGATTAATAATATAGTTTAAGACACTTTGGAGATTGCTTGCCTCTGATTGTCATTCAGTTTGATGTAAATGGAAAATATGGTGCTTTTGCACAGTGATTCTTATTTGTTCATTCTCTAAGAGAACATAAATGGTCTATGCAAATTTAAGTTTCCATAAAATGGTTAGTTTAAATGAACAAAAAATGGAACTAGCTCTACCCTCATGATTCTAACGGAGAAAAAATAATTTTCCTCTGTGCTCTTAGGTTTTGTTACTGGAGCCCTGCAAATTAAACTGAGAAAAGACAGATTGACAGGAGAAAAGAAAACAATTTATTATGCATGCAGTGTACACACATGCAGGTGGTTAAAATTTGGGGGTTATATCTAATTTTAATAGTTTAAGGGGAGATGAAAAAGACACTTAAGGGAAAACAAATGAAAAGGTAATGGGATTACAGGAAAACAGACGGGAGCCAAGAAAGCTTGTGATAATGCTTGTTTATACAGGTGTGAGTGGTCTTTCCGTCTCCTTCAGGGGCTTCAAAGTCCCCTGGAGGAGGGATTGGAGTAGGTTTGATTCTCATTCTCCCTTCTGGGAGTAGATGAACTCTGAAGAGGAACTAATGGCAGCTTTATTTCCCGGAAGTTGTGCTTTTAGTCAGATAAGGGAAGGCTTTTTTTTTTTTTTTGCATCATTTGAATCTCAGATGTCTTCAGCTTGAAATAATCTTTATACCAAAGTGGCATATCGTGTGGTGCATATTTTGATCCCCTTCAAGATTATGGTCCAGTAGAATGGGAGTGTGACCCAGGCAGCCACACTTTTAAAAACTAGTTTGATATGACAGTTATGAGCGTGGGTGTTGGAGTCTGTCTGTCAAATTCAACAAGGATCCTGCAAGTCTCCCCGTGGCGTTTGTTATAGAACCTTGGACACATTATTTAACCTCCTAAACTTCATATTCAACATCTATCAAGTGGATGCATATGGCAGGGAGGCAGCATAAGAGATGCCTGTGGTTGCTCATCCTTCCAGCTTTATGCTGGGTTGATGGGTGTGTCCCTATCTAAAGCAGAATCCAAGGAACAGGAAACTCTAAAAAATTACAACATAGACTAACAATATTAACGGAAAAGTTCTTATGACTTGCTCTTGCTTTGTTTATCTATTCCTAGAAACAGACCAGTGCCTCAGTGTGCCTCCTAAAAAACAGCAAATTAGAATCAAAACAAAGATTTCCACTTTTCTTGTTTCCTTCATCGTTCTCTTCCCCTGTGGGAATGGTGTTCCATCCACGGAGCCATTTTCTCTACGCTTACGGTAATCAGGTGCGTACACGTGAGATTTCACACTCTAGTATGGGTGTAAATCGTTCACTTACTCTATGCTGAGTGGTTATACATCAAGCCAAGAACAGTTACTCTGATGATCGGGGAAGTAGAAAGCCTGATGTAGAGAGAATGAGAAGAGTTAGAGACGATAAATACAAACAAATGTTTTGCAAAGTTTGCTGAAAAGGGGAACAGTGAAATGGGGCAATGTTTGAAGGAGGAAGAGTGGTCAAGAGAAGTTTTTTTAAAAGATAGAAGGAATTATGATGTGTACTGATGGGAATTATTCAGTAGAGAGGGAAAAATGGATGGTGCAGGAAAGAGAGAGGAGAAATTGCTGGAGTGACATCTCTAAATAGGTGAGAGGAGATGAGGTGTATGAACCGCTGGAGAGGTCAGCCTTAGGAGCACAGATAATTGTTTTATAGTAATAGGAGGAAGGAGGAGTTTTGGGATTCAAAAACTGGTAGGTGGGTAGATGTGGTAATGGAAGGGTGTGGGAATTTATCTTCTATTTCCTCAACAAAAATCAGAGTTTTATTTGAGAGCGGGGATGGATAGGAGTGTTGGAGATTTGAGAAAAGAGAACAGAGTAAAACAGTTACTTAGGAGGATGGGAGAATCGACTGACTAAGGAAACGCAGTATGAGTTCTCGAGTTTTGTGCGCACGAATTCAAATTGTGACCAGTTTAGGGTTATTGGATATTCTTCTGCATGTTCCATTATGGGGGTGCATACATAGAGGAGAAGACGGCGTTGTATTAACTACAACTGGAATTCTACCAAGAAATTATTAAGAAGTAAAGTGTGTATAGAAGGGAATTCAATAAGACAAAGAAAAAATTAAGAAATTAAAGTTATGAACGTTAAAATGTAGTAAACAAACTATTTACTTGCAAAAGATATGATTGTCTATATAGAAAATCTAAAAGATACATACAAATTACTGAAACAAGCAGAAGCATCAAACAAGGCGGGAAGCAAAGTAAGTTTCATTTCTGCGCGTGATCAGTAAATTAAAAGCATAATTTTTAAGACACTATTTACAATAGAAAAAAAAAACCCACACAAACGAAAGCTATAAAGTACCTAAGAATAAATCCAAAAAAAGATTTCTAAAACCTCTATGTAGAAAATTATAGACTTTAGTGAAGAACATTTAAAACTTTATAAAGAAATGGATATAAACATGCTTGTGAATAGGAAAACTTGTTGCCTTACAATATCAATTCTTCCTTAAATTAATCTATGGATCTAATGCAACTCGAATCAAAATCCCAAGATCTATTGTGGACTTTAAGTTGATTCTGAAGTATACATGGAAAAACAAAAGACTAAGAATAGCCGAGACACTTCTGAAGAAGAATAAGGGGGATTGCACCAGCAGATATTAACACTTTTTAAAAAGTTGAAATCATGATAATGTGGTTTTGGTCCAGGGAACAAACAAATTGACCAATGGGATAAAATAGAAAGCCCACAAATAGACCCATGCAAATCTAGATAGCCCAAGTGGCATCAGGAAAATAAGGAGCTGCTCAAAATGGGACGGAAAGTATTGGTTATACATGCGAAAAATGTTGAAATACAGCCCCACGTCATAACATACATCAAGCCCAACTCCTGATGGATTGATAATTTAAATATCTATGAGGAGGAAAATAGAATATCTCAAGTATGGTCTATCTGTAATATTGGATTTATGCAGCAGTATAGAATAATGTGAAGATCACATGAGCTAACATAAAATGAGCTGAGGTATATTGTTGAGTGGCAAACGGAATTTATAGAACGAGCACAGTATGATGGCATTGTGAATATATTGTTCAAAGTCCCTCCCCACCCCACCACCACCACCACCACGACGCTCACAGGTAACGTTGGCAGAGTCCAAAGCAAGAGTAAAAATGGAGGCCCCACATCATATGTTTAGGATTATGGGCTGTGCTCTGCCAGCACTGATCGCTACATTCCTGAGTGCTAGAAGCGCCCTTGTGTTATTCAATAAATTTTCTCTGTGAGTTTTTAACGTGCAGGCCCAGTAAGCATGCAGTCCAGGGCGAGGGTCCCTCTTGCCCAGGTCTAAAAGTAGTGCTGCGCCCAGATACGTGCTTCTTCTCCTCCTTAACATAAAATAGGTGACATATCCTATGGGTGCATATATATGTGAATGAAAATGCACAGAACTTTCAAAGTAGTAACAGTGGTTACCTCTGGGAAGGGAGGAGACCACGATTATATCAGGTGAGGTATGAAAGAAGAATTATTTGGATGGCGATCAAAGAGACTTCAGCCACAACGATAATGTTTTAAATTTAAGAAAAGCCTATTTTCAAGTATAACTTGTCATTAAAACTAATTTTTATAAGGAAATTTAAAAAGCAGAAATCTTCATTTGAGTAAGACTCAGGCTATTTAAAGAGGTACCAAGCAGGATTCATCCAATTCATGATCTGATTTACCTTCAAACAATTTGTTACCAAAAGATGAGGAAACAGAGAAACATACGCTATGGAGAAGTATATTTAAGGGTTTGCTAAGGTCCCAGGACGCACTCTTACAAATATCAAGGGGCTCTTCCCCCAAAAACGTGTTTCCATACATATTTGCCAGATGCCTGAAACGTGAAGTCTCATGTCAGCGGGGTAAACTCTCCCCACCATGTCCACATACACCCAGCACTTCATCCTTTTACGAACAACGGGACCCCATTTGGGAGATGATAGAACTAACTTTGTTCTTTTTATACATTTCACCATGCATGCTGTGTAGACGTGAGACTCCACCACATACACCGTCATACAAACTCTAGGCAGGAAAGAGAGTAGACCCCGTAGGTAAGGAGTCTGTGTGTGTGTGTATGTGTGTGTGTGTGTGATGGATGTGGGGGTATGGGAAAGACCACACTGCGTGACTTTTCTTATGTAGGAAGATTAGGCTGATTGGTCATTGCTGACTGTGATTTGGCAGCTCTTTAGTGAGATATTATCTTTTTATTCCCTTAGGTATGGCTTTCGATCGATGGCGGCAACACCTTTGACTTCTTAGCTGACTTTCATGATGATATCATAAAGAATACGTATCATAGTTTTTATACTTCAGACATTGCTTTTGTTTCCCAAAGTGGAAATGTTTACTTGACCAAGGCAGGTAAGGAATTCACTTTTATTGGTTTAAGTAGTACATGTAAGCCAGGGATTAGAAGATATGTGAAAAATCTGCCATATTAATCAACTAATCTTAAGGTCTCAAACCTATTAGGGGTGATGGATTTAAAAATTTTTTTATTGTGGTGAAATATACATAATGTAATGTTTAGCATCTTAACCATTTTTAAGTGTACAGTTCAGTGGCATTAAATACATAAATCATTTTGCAACCATCACCACCATCCATCTCCAGGACTCTTTTCATCTTATAAAACTGAAACTCTATACCCTTTAAGCAATAACTCCCCACCCCATCCCCCCACCCCCCCACACACAGCCCCTGGCAACCACCATTCTACTTTCTGTCTCTATGATTTTGACTACTCTAGGTCTCTCATGTAAGTGAAATCATATTTGTTCCAGATCTTAGAAGAAGAACTTTCAGTCTTTCACCATCGAATAAGATGTTCACTGTGGGTTTCTCATGCTCAGTCTCAATGGCTTCTATTCCTAGTCTAAGTGGTTTTTCATGAAAGGACGTTGAATTTTGTCCAATGCTTTTTTGTATCAATTGAGATGTGTTTTTTTTCCTTCATTCTGTTGATGTGGGTATTACATTGATCAATTTCTGTATGTTGAAACAGTCTTGCATTCCAAGAATAAACTCCACTTAGTCATAGAATAAACTCCACTTAGTCATAGTGTATAATCTTTTAAATATGCTGTTAAATTCAGTTTGCTAGTATTTTGTTGAGGATTTTTGCATTAATATTCATCAGGGATATTGGTCTGTAGTTTTTTTTTTTTTTTTCTTGCAGTGTCTTTGTCTGGCTTTGGTATCAGGATAATACTGGCCTCTTGAAATGAATTAGGAAGTTTTCCATCCTCTCCAATGTTTTGGAAAAGTTTGAGAAGGATTGACATTAGTTCTTCTTTAAATGTTTTATGGGAACATTTTGTATAAACACTAGTGAAGCCATCAGGTCCAGGGCTTTTATTTGTTGAGAGACTTTTTATTGCTAATTCAATCTCCTTAACAGTTATAGGTCTACTCAGATTGACTATTTCTTCCTTATTTAGCCTTGGTAGTTTTTGTATTTCTAGGAATTTTTCCATTTCATCTAGCTTATCCAATTTGTTGGTGTACAGGTGTTCATAGTACTCTCCTATAATCCTTTTTCTTTCTGTAGAAGCAGTAGCAATGTCTCCACTTTCATTTCTGATTTTAGTAATTTGAATCATCTCTCTTTTTTTCTCAGTTCATCCAGCTAAAGTTTTGTCATTTGTTGATCTTTTCAAAGAACCAACTTTTAGGTTCATTTCTCTCTTGTTTTTCTATTCTCTATTCCATTTATCCCTGCTCTAATCTTTATTATTTCCTTCCTTCTTCTAGCTTTGGGTTTACTTTATTCTTCTTTTTCTAGTTCCCTAAGTTTTAAAGTTAAATTGTTCATTTGACACTTTTCTTGTTTTTTAAAGTAAGCATTTATAGCTGTAAATTTCCCTCTTCTCACCACTTTCTCTGTGTCCTGTAAGTTTTGGTATGTTGTGATTTTGTTTTAATCCATCTCTAAGTATTTCCTAATTTCTCCTTTGATCCACCAGTTGTTTAAAAGCGTGTTGTTTGGTTTCAACAATTTTTTGAATTTTCCAGTTTTCTTTATGTTGTTGGTTTCTAACTTCATCCCATTGTGGTCAGAGATGATACTTTGTATGGTATCTATCTTTTTAAATCTATAGAGATTTAATTTCTGGCATAGCATATAGTCTATCCTGTAAAATGTCCCATGTGCTCTTGAGAAGAATGTTTGTCTGCTGTTTTGGGGTGGAGTGTTCTGTATATGTCTGTTAGATCTAGTTGGTTTATTGTGTTTTCAAGTCCTCTATTTCCTTACTTACCTTCTGTCTGCTTGTTCTATCCATTATTCTGAGTGTGGTATTGAAGTCTCCAACTATTATTATTTCTGGTTGATGTCACAAAATTACATCTTTTTGTGTGTGTGTAAGGAAGATTGGCCCTGAGCTAACATCTATTGCCAATCTTCCTCTTTTTGTTTGAGGAAGATCGTCATTGAGCTAACATCTGTGCCAGTCTTCTTCCATTTTATGTTGGATGCTGCCACAGCATGGCTTGATGAGCGGTGCTAAGTCCGTGCCCAGGATCCAAACCTGCAAACCTCAGGCTGCTGAAGCAGAGCACACAGACTTAACCACTATACCACTGGACCAGCCCCTACAAAATTGCATCTTTTATGCATTGTGTGCACAAAAAACATAAACTAATTCTAATTCTAAACTAATAATAATTCTTTTAAATGCATTAGTCTCCTAAAGTATGTACAAAACAAGATTTGGAGTTACAGATCTACGTTACAATAAGTAATACTAGCTTTTACATTAATTATTTTTTTTCTTTAAATGTATTAGTCCCTTGAATCACATAGAAAAAAATATGGTTACAAACCATTATTCACTTATCTTCAGTCTTTTCTTTCTGTTCCTCAACCTGAATAATTTCCATTGTCCTATCTTCCTGTTCAGTGATTCTTTCTTCTGCCTGCTCAAATTTGCCTTTGAATCCCTCAGGTGAATTTTTCATTTCAGTTATTGTACTTTTCAGTGCCCACTTTTCTTTTTGACTTTTTTAGGTTTTCTATCTCTTTATTGATATTCCATTTTGTCCATACGCCATTTTCTTGACTTTCTCCACATCTTCCTTTAGTTCTTTGAACAGCTTTACAAGAATTGTTTTAATGTCAGTGTCTAATAGATCTGCCATCAAATCCTTTTCAGGGACAGTTTCTGTTGATTTATTTTTTTCCTTTGAAGAGGCCATATTTTCCTGCTTTTTTGTGTGTGTTTTGTGAATTTTTGGTGAAAACTGGATATTTAAATCTAATAAAGTTGTAACTCTGGAAATGAGATTCTCTCCATCCCCAAGTGTTTTCTTTTTTTATTGTTTTAGGTGGTTTCTTTTTTATTGTTGTGGACTGTCTTTGTGCCAAGGATCAGCCTGAGATGTAAACTTAAGTTCTTCTCAGGTCTTTCCTGAGCCTGTGCTTTTCCTGGGGCACACATGGTCACTTTCTAATTTTCCTCATATATGGAATTGCTTTGGAATGTCCTAGTCTTTTTTCCCCAGCTTTACTGAGATATAATTGACATATAACATCGTGTACGTTTAAGATGTACAAAATAATGATTTTATATATATATATATATATATATTCAAATGATTACCACAATAAAGTTAGTTAATGTATCTCTCGCCTCACATAGTTACAATTTTTTGTGTATGGTGAGAACTTTTAAGATCTCTTCTAGCAACTTTGAAAAAGACAATATAGTATTGTTAACTGTAGTCACCACGCTGTACACTACATCTGCAGAACTTATTCATCTTATAACCAGAAGTTCGTCCCTTTTGACCGTCTTCACCCATCCCCACCAACACTACCACCACCACACCCCTGACAGCTACCTTTCTACTCTCTATTTCTATGAGTTTGACTTTTTAAAAATAGATTCCACATAAGTGAGGTCATACAGTATTCGTCTTTTTCTGTCTGACATTTCGCTTAGCATGATACCCTCAAGTTTCATCCGTGTTGTTGCAAATGGCAGGATTTCCTTCTCTTTGTAGCTGAATAATATTCCATCGTATATATGTGCCACATTTTCTTTATCCATTCACCTGTTGATGACACGTAGGTTGTTTCCATGTCTTGACAATTGTGATTAATGCTGCAGTGAACATGGGGCTGCAGATAGCTCTTCAAGATAGTAATTTCATTTCTTTTGGATATATACCTGGAAGTGGAATTGGTAGTTCTATTTTTAATCTTTCAAGAAATCTCCACACTATTTTCCATAGTGGCTGCACCAATTTACATTCCCACCAATGCTATGCAAGAGTTCCCTTTTCTCCATATCCTTGCCTATACTTGTTATCTCTTGTCTTGTTGATAATAGCTCAAATGTCCTAATCTTTAATGTCTGGCTCCCAAAAGAGAAAAATAAAGGAGAGGGGAAGGGCCCAGACCCTTTAAATTCTCTGGAAGTCACTTTTGGGGGGGGAGTCACTTCAATCACTTTCAAAAATGGGGGGAGGTACAACAACAATGGCCACCCTCCTTTTTATCTGCACCTCTGTATCAGAAGCAGCAGTCAGAGCACAGAACCCCAAGATCTGGAGGACAGAGTCTTTTTCTGCCCACCCTGACTCCCACAGGCTGTGTGCAACTTCCCCAGGAACGCATGCACAGTTGCCTCCCAGGTGGCTAGTGGTGGAGGATGGGTAGCTTCTACTGTGCTAAGAGCTGAAATTAACCACATTTTACCATCCAAGCCTTCTCTGGAAGCTGCAAGCCTTGAATAGACTCCAGAGTTCCAAAGTAGTTACATCAGATAGATTCTGCCAGTGCAATTGTCCAGATGGGGAGACAGATTCCTGGTGCTTCCTACTCTGCTGTCTTCCCAGAATCCGCTGGGGGTGATGGATTTTTAGGATCTACAAAAATAGGATGCTATGAACAGCCCTAAAGAAGGGGGACCCTGGATCATCATGCTATATTCTCATTTACAATTTCAGTGATGTTTTACTTTCCCAAAAGACAGATAATAATAGCTCCTACTTATTGAACTACAATTGTGCTCGAGATGTTACAGATATCATCTCATTTAATATTCGTAACAGAATAGCTGAAGCAGGTAATGTTAGCTTGCTTTTACAGATTAAACTGATGCAACCGAGACCATACAGCTCATAAGAGGTGAGTTGGGTAAATGATATATGGCTCTCTGTCTACTTGATTTGGTGATGTTGTGATTTTATCGATTGAGCCCATGTAGCTCCTCTCAGTTTGCTTGCACAGTTAATACTGATTGACCTATTGACAGATGCCCACTCTTTTCCAACTCAGCTGAATTTGGTGACCAGTCTTGGAGCCTAGAACGATTATTGGACGTGGTTCTCAATTTATTTGTGTATCTCTCTGATCT